CGCACCAACCCAGTGCCCTTTACCCATCCCCCTTCCCCCCCCACCCCCCCCCCCCCCCGGTCCACTCTCTCCACCCATCCAACCATCCATCCATCCGACACAGCAGAGACCGAATGGGGTGGGGGTGGGGGAGGAAGGCGGCGGGGCAAGGCATAGGCATCCACACCCACCTCACCACACTCTTCGGTTGCTACTGAGGAGACGTGACTGGGTTGACTAGGTAGCTCTCGTACACATAACCAAACCAATCCATACCATCAATGTCTGGTCCTGGTAGAGGTCGTGGCGGTGGTCGTGGCCGGGGTCGGGGACGAGGTGCCGCTGGCGGTGGTCGTGGTCGGGGTCGCGGTGGTGGCGGTGGTGGTCGCGGCTGGAGTGGTGGACGTGGTCGTGGTGGACGTGGCGGTGGTCGTGGTGGTGGCCGTGGTGGTGGCTATGGTGGGTACAACAACTGGCCGAGGGGAGGGACGCAGAAGAAGATGCGCGATATCAAGCGGCTGCTGAGCAGGCCCAATCTGCCGCCCGAGCTTGTGGCGGCCAAGAAGGAAGAGCTGGCGCTGCTGGAGGAGATGCGTGAGGAGCGGAAGAAGGCCGAGGAGACCAAGGATCGGATCCTGGCGGCACGGAGGGTGCGGTTCTTTGATCGTCGGAGGCTGATGCGCAAGGTCAAGCAGGCGTACAAGGCCCGCAAGACGGCAGAGGCCGGCGACGACGAGGAGGCCAAGGCTGCAGCGGCAGCCAAGGTGGCGGACCTGGTTGAGATGTACCAGGTCGTCATGCATTTCCCCTTCCACGAGCGCGAGTACATCAGCGTCTTTCCGGGCAAGAACCTCTCGGTTGCGAACCTGGCCGAGCACGAGACAACGATGGCGGGCATCCGTGCATCGATCATGGACGCCATCAGCAGTGGCAAGCTCGAGGCGTACGAGTTTGATGACAAGGGCAAGCCGGTGCCCAAGGAGGGCGACGAGGTCGGCGACGACGACGAGGCGCACGCGTACGGCTCGCGCCCGCCGCGGCCGCGGGCCTCGGTCACCTCGGATCCGTTCTTTATGGATCCGGACCAGGAGCCGGAGCAGCTGACCGGATGGCAGGCCAAGGAGTGGGCGCGGCGGCAGAAGCGGCTGTTTGGCGAGTCTGAAGAGGCCGCACCGGGCGAAGCCAAGGCCAAGGCCAAGAACGATGGCAAGGCCAAGAACGATGGCAAGGCCAAGGTCGAGGCAAATGATGCAGCGACGCCATCGCGGAAGCGCAAGCGGAGCGAGAGCAAGACCAAGGCCAAGGCCAAGAGCGGCACTCGGGGCGAGAATGACGACGCGGAGGCACCGGCCGAGGTCTCGGCTCGGCGGATGCCCAAGCGGCGCAAGGGCAAGAAGATGAGTGCGGCCGAGCAGGGCGCCGAGGCGCTGCGCAAGCGGGCCGAGCTGACGGCTCAGGCCATTACCGTGGGCGCGCGGACCAAGGGTGCGATTGTGTTCTCGGACGACGACGAGTAAAGACGGCGCGTGCTACATACATACAAGGGGACTGACGGCCAGGTTGTGTTCAATGACGCATCCGAGGTCATGCCGGCGAACGTGACGAGCCCAGCTGGGCGTCCGAGGACGAGGAGAGGTCGGAGCCGTTGCGGGAGGTGCCGGTGAGCGGGGTGGCTCCGGCCGGGACCGAGTTGTGGGCGCCGCCGTCCGAGATGGCCATAAAGTCTTCGTCGGAGGAGCCCGAGTTTGTGCCCTCGGGCGGGATGCCGCGGCGGTGAGCGACGGTGCCTGCCAGGCGGGCATGGTCCTCACACTCGTCGCGAACAGGATCAAAGTCGGGTGGTCCATGGCCTCGCGGACGTTGAGGCGGTGCTCGTGGTCGTAGACAAGAATGCCAGAGAGGAGGTCGATGGCGTCGGCGACGGCAAGGGACTTGTTCTTGCGGGTGACGAGAGAGTCCCAAGTCGAGCCCTCGTAGCCCTCGAGCTTCTCGTCCCATTCGTCGCGGAGGCGGACGCCATATTTGTCGACAAAGTCGAAGAGGCCGTCCGAGCCCATGAGCTTGACGATGGCGACAAGAACGTTGATGTTCTCCTTGCGGCCCTTGAAGACAGGATGCTTCTTGAAGACGATGCCGGCCATCATGGCGCCAAACGACCACATATCAACGGCATAGTCATACCTTGAGTACTGCATCAGCATTTCGGGCGCCTTGAACACGCGGGTTCCGGGGAACTTGCGGAACCGCTGGCCGGGATTGTAAAAGGCGGCGAGGCCCCAGTCGATGAGGCGGAGCGTTTTGCGGACTGGATCAATGAGCACATTGTGCGGCTTGATGTCGCGGTGGATGACACCCTTGGAGTGGGTGTAGTCGAGGGCGAGGAGGAGCTGGTACATGTAAAACCGGACCTCGTGGTCGGAGAAGCCCGCGTACATCTTCTTAAAGTCGGGCGTGTCGACATATTCAAAGATGAGCGACTTTTGCGCCGTCAGCGGGTTCTCCACAAGATCCAACAGCTTGATGATGTTTGTCCCACGCCGGAGGTTGGTGAGAAACTTGATCTCGCGCTTGATGATCGACAACTGGACCGGCTTGAGCACCTTGATCACCACCGTCGACTTTGTCAGCAGCTCGGCCTCTGCCTCTGCCGGCAGGCTAAGTGTTTCCGCACCTCCCGCTCCGGCCTTCTCCGTGCTCGCTGCACTCTCGTTCTCGTCGTCATCGTCCACGCCCTTGCCCTTGGCGCTACGCCCACTCTCGACCTTGTCCGAGACCGACGGGCCCGAGCCAGCAGCCGAGCCAGCGGCCGAGGCAAACTTCTTGCGAAGAGCGGCTTCCTTGCGGACATCAATGGCAGAGAAGACCTCGCCAAAGTGGCCTCTTCCGAGCTTGGTAATGACGTGATACGGCTCGGGCTCAGACCATGCGAGGTTGAGCGACTCCCAGTCGAACCACTCCTTGGGACGATCGACCGACGCATCCCTGTACAGCTCGGCCTCTCCGCGCGGCTCTGACAACGAGCTCCCATTGTCGCTCGACGACATGGTGTTGAAGTGAGAGAGAGGGGAAAGGGGGGGGGAGGGGAGGGTGTGTGTATGTGTGTGAAGGTGGTAGTGTGGGAGGAGTGTGTGTAGAGGAGGAGGAGGAGGAGTGCGAGCGGTAAGGGTGTGGTGGTGGTGGTGGTGGTGGTGGGTGGTGGTGGGAGGAAGGGGGGGTGTGTGTGCTTGCGGCTGTGGCTGTGGCGGGTTTTTGTCGCTCAAAATGTGCCCTCTTATTGGTGTGGATTGTTTTTAGAGGTTGTGGCGATGGTGATGGGGATGGTAATGGGGATGGAGATGATGATGACGATGGGTTGGGTTGGGTTGGGGGATAGGAGGGGGAGGAGGAGGGAGGTGGGGATGGGGCGGATGGGTGGATATGGGGTGTTTTGCTTTGGGTGATGGGTCGACGATGGTGTGCATGAGCTGGCTGCCAGCGCCTTCACGAGCGAGATGACGACTTGCTCGATGGTATTAGAGCACGTACCATGACGAGGACCCATGACGAAGACAGCCCGAGCAGCCGACCTCACCACTTGCTGTTGAATCAGGTCGTGGAAGCCGGTTTGCCTGGCGAGCAGCTGGGGAGCAGCCGGTGAGCAGCGCAGAATCTACAGCAAATGGCGAGAGCAGCAACACGCCACTCACACCAGCCATGGCGTCTTCACGGCGGGACTACGTGTCCGACAAGGGTACGTCCTTCACCGACTCACCCCCCATACATATGCCACACTCTTTACCCTCTCTCTCTCCCCTCTATTCCCACTCCATCCCCCTTCCCCGTCCCCCCCTCCCCCCTCCCCTCCCCTCCCCCCCCCCCCCCTCCCGTGAGGTGACGGAGAATGTCCCATCCAGGGCAACTGAATTTTCTTTGGCCTCCGCCTCCGCCACTGCCCCCCCCCACCTCCTCCCCCTCCCCCCCCCCCCTCCGCCTTCTCCTCCCCCCCTTCCTTCTCCCTCCCTCCCTCCTCTCCCCCTCTCTCTCTCTGTGTCATGGGGGCGTGATGGGGCACGGACTGGTCTGGTCGTCACTCACGGGTCGAGCGGGTGACAACGCGGAAACGGTCGACGGGCGGACGGACGGTGCGGGTTGACGGACGGTGTGGGTTGACGGACGATGCGGGGTGGTGGGTGACGGGGTGCGTGTGCAGCGACGGTCAAGGACTTTGTGCTCAACTTTCGACCGGCAACGGCGCAGCCGAGCGACCCGCCACACTACATGGCGGTGCTGCAAGCGGTGGCGAACAGGGAGACCCGCGAGGTCAATGTCTCGTTGGAGGATCTGATGGAGTTCACGGGTGGAAACACCGGGCTGGCGGATGCAGTGGCGCACAACACCGCCCGGTACCTCACTCTCTTCCAGGAGGCCATCGACGAGGTGTTGCCGGAGCCGACGGCTAATGTGGAGGACGCCGACATTGTGGATGTGCTCATGCATCAGCGGCGGGAGCGGGCAAACGCAGCTGGCGGGAGCGCGGCTGGCGGGGCCGGCGGTGGAGCTGGTGGAGCTGGTGGCGACGACGGCGCCGGGCCGTCTGTACCCGAGTTTCCGCCAGCGATGCGGCGGAGGTACGAGCTGCGGTTCATCCCGCCGTCCAAGAAGGAGGTAATGGGGATCCGCGAGGCCGGGGCGGAGCAGATCGGGTCACTCATCACGCTCTCTGGGGTGGTGACGCGGATCACCGAGGTTAAGCCGCTCATCCAGGTGGCGACGTACACGTGCGACGTGTGCGGGTTTGAGATTTACCAGGAGGTGACCGGGCGGACGTTTATGCCTGTGGCACAGTGCCCTTCGGAGCGGTGTCGGGCAAACAACACGCGCGGCAAGCTGTACATGCAAACGCGCGGGTCCAAGTTTGTCAAGTTCCAGGAGATGCGGCTGCAGGAGCTGTCGTCGCAGGTGCCTGTGGGCCATGTCCCGCGGTCGATCACCATCCACCTCAAGGGCTCGCTCACGCGTGTTGCGACGGCGGGCGACACGGTCGAGGTCACCGGCATCTTCCTCCCGATCTCGTACACCGGGTTCCGGCAGATCCGAGCCGGGCTTGTGGCTGACACGTTTGTGGAGGCCATGCACATGACCAAGACCAAAAGTCGTACGCCGAGACGGCCAAGGACGCCGTGTCTGACGACGCGGTGGCGACGCTTGCGGCCGACTCTGCGGTGTACTCCAAGCTGGCCAAGTCGATTGCACCGGAGATTTTCGGCATGGAGGACGTGAAAAAGGCGCTCCTGCTCCTGCTGGTGGGCGGCGTCTCGCGCAACGTGCGCAACTCGATGAAGATCCGCGGCGAGCTCAACGTGTGCCTCATGGGCGACCCGGGTGTGGCCAAGTCGCAGCTGCTCAAGTACATTTCGCGGCTGACGCCGCGTGGGGTGTATACAACAGGCAAGGGCTCGTCCGGCGTCGGTCTCACCGCAGCCGTCATCCGCGACAAGACAACTGGCGAGGTCTCGTTGGAGGGCGGCGCGTTGGTCCTGGCCGACATGGGCGTTTGCTGCATCGATGAGTTTGACAAGATGGACGAGTCGGACCGGACGGCCATCCACGAGGTCATGGAGCAGCAGACGATTTCGATTGCCAAGGCCGGCATCATCACTACGCTCAATGCGCGGACGTCGATTCTGGCGGCGGCTAACCCGGTGATGGGCCGGTACAACCGGCGGCTCTCGCCGACGGAGAACATCAACCTGCCTGCCGCGCTGCTCTCGCGGTTCGACCTTGTCTTCCTCCTCCTCGACACGCCCGACGTCGACAAGGACCAGCTCCTTGCGCAGCACATTTGCTACGTCCATCGCGAGGCCAAGGCACCGCCGCTCGACTTTGAGCCGTACGACCCAGCGCTTATCCGGGCGTACGTGGCGAGGGCGCGCGAGTGCAACCCGGTGGTGCCCGACGACCTTGCGTCGTACGTTGTCTCGACGTACGTTGGCATGCGCGAGAACGAGGCCCGCCGCAAGGAGCTCCACGGCCACACGTCGGCGCGGACCCTGCTCGGCGTCCTCCGCCTGGCGCAGGCGCTTGCCCGCCTCCGCTTTGCCGACGTCGTGACCAAGCCCGACGTCGATGAGGCTGTCCGCCTCATGCACATGTCGAAGGCCTCGCTCACCTCGGACTCGAGCAGCTCGTCGGGTCTTGACCCCAAGTCAGCCATCTACACCATCATCCGCGACGAGGACGCCCGCCGCGGCCACTCGCAGACGCTCCGCTACGACGACATCCTCCCGCTCGTCATCGCCAAGGGCTACACCGCCGCCCTCCTCGACGACGTCATGGACGAGTACGCCGACATCGGCGTGTGGACCATCTCCTCTGATCGTTCCACCATCACCTTTGTCTCGTAGACGCATGATCGATGGCTTGTGTGTGGGCGCGTGGGCGCTGCCTGGCACACTGGCCGTGATAAATGAATATCCAGAGCATGCGGTGGTGGATGCACGGTGAGCTGAGCTGAGCACACCCGCCCACCCGTCCCAGCCCGTTTGGGCGGAAGCCTGTTTCCATTCTCGCCGTCTCGAGTCACTCAATGCCAGTAACAGCCAACTCTCGGACGGCTGCTGCGCCTCGACTCGGCGGCTTTGTCAGTGTACGACGAGAGGCTGAAGTGACGACGGAGCAAGTCGAGTGAGGACAGGGCAAGGCCAACCATCATGTCTACTTCTTCCCATGATGACGTCCGCATGTGCTTTGTCTGTGGTGTGGCGGTCACCCCTCCTCACGGCGCTTCCAAAGCAACCGCTGCCGCTGTCTTCAACGCACACCTGAACGCTTGCCTGGACGATGCCTCCCGTGCCGAGCCTGCGGCTGCGTCTACGGCTGCCGCATCTGTGCCTGTGGCTGCTCTGCCTGTGACTGCTGTGGTTGTGGCTACTGCGGCTGCGGATGCCGAGCCCTCGGCGAGCGATGATTCAGCCGAGTTGGACAGGTCAGGGGCAACAACAGGCGCCGCGGGGACAACAGGCGCCGCGGCGGCGACAGGCGCAACGGTGGCGGGCAACAATGCGGCTGCAGGCAAGGATGCAGTCGAAGCAGAGGTGCCACCCGCCTCGCCACTTCGGCAGCGACTGATGGTCCCGAGATCGCCGGTTGACTACATCGAACTGAGCTACGACGCGAATGGCGTGCTGCTCCCCCCGCCTCCGCCGATTGCTCGGCTGCTGAACAAGGCCGAACTGATGTCGCTCAAGGCTGAACGCAAGGCAGCCCGGATGGAGCGCCGCAGGCAACGGCGGATCGCTCGCAACGAAAACCTTGTTGCCGCGGTCCGGCGCGGCAAGCATGTCGCGTGTCCGGGGTGCGACGAGGTCAAGTCGTTCCGCGACTACGTCTTTACTCTCGGCGACAAGTCCGGCCGGTTCCGCTGCGATGCTTGCATTGCTGCCGGCATCAAGGCGTATGATCCGAGTGACGCGCTCGGCTCGTCGGAGTCGTCGGGCCTCCAAGTCAACGAGGTTGAGCTCGCAGTTTCGTCCCCTCCGGCCCCGGCCTCAGCGCAGCAGCAAGAGCTCCTGCGCCACACGCCAGACAGCTCCGACTACGACTCGTCAGAGGAAGATGTGTTCACGTCGAGTACATCGTCGCTTGACGGCGTATCGGCGGTGGCGGCGCTGAAGGACGATGACGCCGTCTTTGCCGGTCCAAGCGAGGAGGCCGTCCGTGGCAACCACGGTGTGCGGTTTGTGGCCCACCGCGGAAAAGTCCAAGAGCTGCTGTTTGGCATCAAGCCGACAACGAGCGGGATGAAGCGGCTCCGCGGCAGGCGCCGGGTGCCGCGGCGGCCGCCGTCGTCGACTGCTGGCGCGACTAGAGCGCGGGACATTGTCCGGCAGCAGGCCCGGTTGCTGCGTCAGATCGAGCGGCAACATGCCGGCATCAGCACTGACAGCGAGTCTTCCGCCAAGTCTATCTCGGTGTACAGCACGTCGTCGATGGTGACGCCGCACGGCGACGCTGCGCTCGAGTTTGCGCTCCTCGACGACCAGGACGCGTGGACGTACGAGACCTACTCGCTGCCGGAGGAAGAAAAAGGCGAGTTGGGAAGCCTGAGTCTGCAGGACCAGCGCGAGGAGGAGTACTTTGCACGCAGACTGTTCTTTGCAAAGGTTGCGGCGTCGACGCTGACTCACTTTGACGGCGGCTGGCTCGGCCCGGGCGTGTCGATGAGTAGCGTCACCGCCCGCCCGCCGCTTACGCCGCGCGGATACTGGTACGGGGCCAAGACGGGTGGGCGGAAGAAGCGGCGGACAGAGCGCGACACTGGCGCGGCGGCGACGGGCAAGGGCAAAGAAGAGGCTGATGAGCCTACCTCAGACGAGTATGACGAGGTTGCGGATTTGAGAGTGCCGTCGTGGGCAGCAAGCGGAGAGGCGACGGTGGTCGACTTGCCGGTTGAGCTCCTGCTGGAGATCTTCAAGTGGCTCCGGCCGGAAGACCTCGGCCGGGCGGTCTTTGTCTGCCACACCTGGCGGATTGTGGCCATGGATGAGGTATTGTGGCGGCGGTACGCGGCAAGTGCTGAGTTTGAGGCCACATCGAGCGCGCTCCTGGCCCGAAACGTCACGCCTGGATGGCGTGCCAAGCTCCCGGGCGAGCCGTGCTACCACTATGTGCTCACCATCCGGGCGCGAGAGGCGCGCGCCGAGCGTGAGGAGAGAAATTCCATGGCACGACGGGCGATACTCAACGCGCGCAACGATCGCTCGCAGCAGATTCAGCGGGCGCAAATCGTGCGGAGTGATGCATTAGGGCAGACTGGAATCTCGTGCTACAGTCTGGTGGTTGCGATGGCGGTTGTGGCATTTACGGTCCTCCTTGCACTCCAACTCGACGGGAGTATCGATCTGACGTGGAACGTAGTGTTCTCGCCTCTCTACGCCGCACTCGGGGTCCTGTTCATCACGCTTTGCTGCGGCTACGCACTTCCTGACGTTGACGTCGATGAGGCTGGCACCATGTGCTGCTTTGGGCTTGTACTCCTCTTTGTGGCCATCCCATTTGTCTTTATCGCATGCAAGCTCGATGGCCTGCTCAACTGGCACTGGGCGGTCGTGCTCATCCCGACGTACATTGCAGAGCTCCCGGTAGCGGCCCTTGTGCTCTTGGCCTTTGCCGAGGTGGTGGACGACATGCTCTACGAGGGCGGATGGGACTCGTTCTTCAAGTCGGCGTGCGCATTGTTCTTCATCCTCACTTTTGGCGTCATGATTGCGTCGAACGTGCTTGTCACGCTCTTCATCGAGGGCCAACTCGCGCCGTCGACAACCATCTGGGAAGTCTTCTCACCGTTCTTTGTCCAGTCGGGCCTCTGGCTCATTGGCGGGCTCATGATGTGTTGCTACCAGTCGATCGACGGGTATTGGGACTTTCCACTGGAGGCTGTCATGGCGGTGCTCGGCATTGTGGCGTACGCAACGATGATGGTGGTGCTTGTGGCGGCATACTCTGTGGGCGCGATCTCATCGTTCTTCTACGTCCTCATTCCGATCTACATTGTGGCCTGTGCTCCGTTCTCGGCGGTCTGCGTGTTGTGGATCCGCAGCCTCAAGCGGATTGTTCCGGCGAGTATGCGACTGTCTCGGGCGCGCGAGAGCCTCCGGGTCTTTGATCGTGACATGGAGCAGGGTCGGACGCCATGGGGCCACGTTGGAGGCGCAAGCGGGGGCGAGCGTCGTGGGTCGATAGCCATGATTCCGAGCTGGCCGGTGCCGCAACATCGGGCGTCGTTGAGTGACTTTGGCGCGGCGTCGTCGTCGATGTCGACGTCGTCGTGGTGATTGCGGGCTGTAGCTCGAGGTTCATTTGTCTACGAGGATGGGGCCGACGAAGCGGCGGCGACTGACGAGGTGCGCATCTGCAAGACGTTAGCGCCTGCGGCGACGTCGACAACCGGAAGCGCGACCCTGGCGGTGTCAGCGTTTGGCGGCGGGTCGAGGTAGCCGACGGTGACGAGGAAGGCGATGTAGCGGTAGAAGCAGCGCGACATGGGCGTGCAGGTAAACGAGTCGCCGAGCATGGCTGGCACGTTGTCCATGCACAGGTCGGGACTCATCGACTTTGTGGGCAGGTCGTCGAGGACAAAGTGCAGCAGCGGGTAGAGGGCGGTCGACGACTCCGAGTGACCACCGTCGACGACGCGGGCCTCGAGGCGATCGCGCCACTCGACGTAGTCGAGGCGCTCGAGCGGGTAGCCCAGAGCTGCAAGGGCGTCGAACATCGACTCCATGCGAAAGACGTCGGGTGAGAGAAAGTGGTAGGCGTGACCTCGAGCGTCCGGCCCGGCTTCTGCGACGCGGACCATGGCCTCTGCCACAAAATCGACGGGCGCGACGTAGACTCGGTTCTTCATGATGGGCGCGGCGCCGAGTTCGACGCAGCCTTTGACCATGCGAATGAGGTAGTCGTCGACATTGGTGGCGCCGGCGGTCGAGTCGCCGAGGACGTAAGCCGGGCGATGGATTAGGACTGGGATGTTGCGGGTGGCGGCGGTGCGGAGCATGGTCTCAGCCACAAACTTGGACTGGCCGTAGCCGACCGAGAGCTGATCAAAGTGCTCAAGCGGATCGTCTTCGGCGACCGACGCGGTTCGCTGGGCGTATGGGCCCGAGTCGAAGACCGAGGTCGACGAGACAAAGTGGAGGGTAATGACGCGCGGGCCGGTGACGGCAAAGCGGAGGCACTCTTGGACCGAGGCAACGTTGGCGGCGCGGAGCTGCTCGTAGGGGTAGACCCAGTGGACAAGAGCGCCACAGTGATAGATCTCATCGAGCTCCGTTGTGAGGGTGGCGCGGAGCTCGGGCGCAATGCCGAGCCAGGGCGCGGTGAGGTCACCGAGGATGACGTCGACGCGGGCGGCGGTGGCCGGGTCGGCAGCGATGGCGCCGAGGCCGACAGCGGCGAGGCGGGCGTGGAGTCGGGAGGTGGCATCGGCGACCGACGAGCCGCGAACAAGGCAGTGGATGGTGGCGTTGGGCCGCCGAACAAGGAGCGCAGCGAGGAGGTAGGCGCCGACAAAGCCTGTGGCGCCAGTGAGGAGGACATGTGCCACGTCGTCAGCCGACGGAGCATGCCAGGCGCGACCGGTGGCATCGAGCGTCGGATCGAGCGCAGCCTCTACCTCGAGCTCGAGCTCGGGCGGTGGCTGGGATGCGAGGTCGGCGGCGCGAGAGCTGGCGGCATCGGGCGATGCGGCAGCCTGATCCTGCGGGAGGAGGACAGCCGATGCGTCCATGTGGGCCTCGACGGCGGCGGCGAGGGCGCGCGGAGTGGGATGCTGATACAGGGCGTTGAGCGGGATGTCTGTGCGAAGCTCGCGGCGGAGGCGGAAGGTGAGCTCTGTGGCGGAGAGCGAGTGGCCGCCGGCGTCCCAAAAGTCGGTTTCGGGCCCGACGGGACGAGCAAGGACGTCAGAAAAGAGCGAGACAACGAGCGACTCGCGGGCGGAGAGGTGATGGGCGCGGGTATCGAGAGCAAAGGTGAGGTCTGGGGCCGGGAGCATGGCGCGATGAAGCTTGCCGTTGGGGGTGAGCGGAAAGGACTGGAGCGGCATAAAGACAGAGGGCACCGAGTACGACGGGAGTTTGGAGCGCAGGAGGACGCGGATGTCTGCGATGTCGTAGACGTCGGGGACTTGCGGGACAAAGTAGGCGACGAGCACCTTTTCCTCGGCCGAGTCGCGCTGGACAAGGGTGATGCACTCGCGGACGCAGTCGTGGGAGGCGAGGACGGCGTCGATCTCCTTGAGCTCGATGCGGAAGCCACGGATCTTGACCTGGTCGTCTGCGCGGCCGACGCACTCGACCGAGCCGTCGGCGGCAAAGCGGCCGAGATCCCCGGTGCGGTACATGCGATCGCGAAGGAGCGGGGCGACGTCGCCGGGTTGACGAGCGAGGGCGAGCTGGTCGACAAACGGGTTGGCTAGGAACTTCTTGGCTGTCTCGTCGTCACGGCCAAGGTAGCCGTAGGCAAGGTGTGGCGAGCGGACAAAGAGCTCACCAAGCTCGCCGATAGCGGCGAGGCGCCATGTGGCTGCCGAGTCCTGGACGAGGACGAGGAGATCGACGTCGCACATGCCCTTGCCTGCGCCAAGGACGTGCTTGCGGAGGGCCATGTTGTTGGGGCAGGCGTCGATGGCAAGGTAAGAGACGGCGCGCTGGGTCTCGGTCGTTCCGTACATGTTGACGGTGACAAAGTGCTCGGAGCAGAGGGCCTGGAGGCGGAGAACGTCACGCTGGGTGAGTACATCGCCGACGAAAAAAGCTGTGGAGAGGGCGAGATGGACGCCGGGCCCGAGGACGGCGTTGGCAGTGACGAGTTGGCCCATGGCCGGGGTGAGATGGGTGACGGTCGAGGCCGAGTCGGCCAGCCACTGGGCGAGGGCGCCCGGGGTGAGGATGTGCGCCGAGTCCGGAATGTGAATGGAGGCACCGAGGACGACCGGGGTGAAGACGTCGCGCTGGATGGGGTCGTGGGCGATGCCGGAGAGCATGGTGAAGCGATCCGAGGCCGAGAGGCCAAAGGTCTCGGCCATCCACGGGGTAAAGTGTGTGAGCGAGACATGGCGGCCGAGGACGCCCTTGGGGATGCCGGTCGAGCCCGAGGTGAACGAGAGGGTGGCAAAGGTGTCTGCGTGGATGGCGACAGACGGGGAATCCGTATCCGCATCGGCGAGCTGCGGGATGTCCGCGAGCGGGGTGAGGGCGTTGATGATGAGCTTTAGCGCAAGCTCGTTGTCGATAAAGTCGACGACGTCTGGCGCGAGCGGGCCTGCGCGGGAGAGGGTGATGATGGCGCGCGGCTGGGCAACCTCGAGATAGAGGCGCTGGCGGGCTGTAGGGTACGACGGGTCGATGACGGTGAAAATGGCGCCGGCCTTGAGGATACCAAAGATGGCGGTGACAAGCGCGGAGGAGCGGTGGGCGTAGAGGGCAACAACGTCACCGTAGACGATGCCGGCGGCGACGAGGGCGGAGGCGACGCGGTTGGCGGCGGCGTCGATGGCGGCGTAGGTGTAGGTGACGGGATCGAGAGCGCCAGCGGCGGTGTCGTCGTTCACAACCGGGTACTCGACAAGGAGTGGGCGGTCGGGGGTGGCGGCAGCATGGCGGGCGAGAAAGTCGACGATGGGGCCGACAAAGGTGTCCGAGAGCGGGCGGGTCGGGTCCGGGAGCACGGCGCGGGCGCGCAGAGTGAGCGGCGAAATGTCGACGAGGTCGCCGTCGAGGTTTGCGGCCATGGCGGTGATGATGGCGTCGATCTGGTGAAGGGCGTTGACCATGCGAGCGCGGGTGTAGAGGAGGGAGTCGTAGCGGATGCGGAGGCGGAGCGGGAGGAGGCGGCGGGTGTCGGGCTCGTGCTCGATGTAGATGGTCCACTCTGCGCGAGCGGCGGCCTCTGTCTGCTCGGACACCTCGCAAGCGTTGAAGAAGCGGATGGAGAAGAGCGAGTCGAGCGAGTCATCACGATGGCGGAGGGCATCAACGAGCTCGTCAAACGGAATCGGGTGGGCACGAGCAGTGTCGTCGGCGTCCTTGATCCGGGTCAGGAGCTGGGCGACGGTGAGCGGGGCGTTGTCGGGGGCGAGGTCGAGGCGGAGGACAAGCGGATTGGTGTCGTGCGAGGAGCCGAGAACAATGTCATCATCGCCGGTAAACTTGCGGAGGAGGATGGCGAGGGCTGTGAGAACGATGTGGAAGGGCTTGACGGCGGTGTCGAGCGAGATGCGGAGGAGTGCGTTGCACGTCGGTTCCGCCAGCGAGAGCACGACGTCGGCCTCGACCGGCGCGTGGTGATTCCGGGGAAAGTCACAAGGGAGTCGAACATCCGGCAAGGCCTGCAGTCTTTGCAGCCAGTAGGCCAGCGAGTTGGACGGAGTCGCCATGGGAGGTGCAGTGGGGGTTGAGTTGGAGGTGTGCGGGCGAGACTGCAGGGATCGTGGGCAGTCGTTTTTTGTGCGGGTTTTTTTGGTGTGCGGGAGAAGAGAGACGTTCGAGTGGAAGGTATGTGTTTTTTTTATATTGCCCCGGGTGAGGGGGAGAGGGAAGGGGAGAGGGGAAGGGGGGAGGAGGAGGATGGAGGGAAGAGGGGGGAGCGGGGGGGGGGGGGGAGGGGGGGGAGGTCAGGAGGGAGGGAGGGGGAGGGGACCGAGTTTGTGAGCGTGACATGATTCGTTGGCGGTTGTCGTGTGGAACTGGGGTGCCATTCATTGATGCCGTTGCGAATGTGTGGCAGTTGATATTGGTGGAATGGGTGGCGGGGGGGGGGGGGGGGGGGGGGT